TCAATGAAACTAAATCAAGACCTCTTTGAGGTCTACAAGGCTTCTGAGGCAACTTGGTAAAAGCCTTCTAGGCGGAGAATATAAACCTCTACCTAGTGTGGCAGATCGCTTTTGGGCATCCATAGAGAAAGCCGAGGGATGTCAGGCCTAAATATTAAGCTCAACATTATGTAACTAGTTTTATATAATAATCTTAATAAAGGATCACCGGCAAGGTTGCCAAAGAGGAAAAAAAAAACAAAAAAAAACTATGTATATTTAAGAAACCACTTTGAATATGTGAAGATTGGATCTAAAACCTTTGATACAGCATGAATTACATATGAGTTCTCACTATAATTATTTTCTATTAATAATGGTCTCAGACTCCAAATATGTCACCTGGAATTAGAAATACTCTTAATTAATGATATAACCTTATATAAATATACACATAATTTAACGCAAATAACTTACAATCCTTCTAACAAGTCAAAAACCGTCATCAGTATACGTTTGAATTCAATAGACATTTCTCCTCATGGAAAGGCTATTGGTCGCATTAACATAGGATCAAAGTCAGGTCTTAGATCTTTATACGTGTCTACGAAATCGTCTAGCATGAATTTAATTTCTCCTGGAAATTCATTATTGCCAAACTCATGATGCATCAAAATCTGCTTAAACCTTGACGATAATAAATTTACAAATGGGTCTTCATTTTCGGAGAGATCAATAATATCAGATGCTAAAGGAACTTCTGGTTTAATCGTCACTGGATCTAAGTGTTCCAAATGACAAACAATTTTGGTATATGTGACCATAGTAGCTTCCGAGTAGTGATACGGGCCGGCCCAGAAATTATCGGCCGGGAATCTTCGGAATGTAGACAATAAGACAACATTGAATATGAATCTCTTATAAGGTCAAAGAAAAAAGTATTGAATAACTCCCCAATCCATGTCTAAAGTGCAATAAAGGTTGAATATCTTTCAAAATCTTTCAAAATCTTTTATAAAAAGATCGGCCCTGACCAACTGGGCCAACCCGGGCTGGCCCGAGCCGGCCTCGACCTGAGATTTTTCCATCGGCCTATATCACTACTTCCGAGCAACTATTTCCTAGCTTAACTCTCTATAAATAATATTTCCCAATTAACAATAAACACACCAGAAATCAGAATTATAATATTTACTTACACATCTGCTTAATATAAATTCTATATTCTCTTGAATTATATTAATGTTATGTTCCTGTTCCATAGCTTGTCGCTATATTAGTAAAAAATGAAAAAAGATAAGCGCTTTTCATTTTGGATAGTATGAGGTACATATATATTTATACTTACTTTCTCCTTTTCTCCCATCCAAGCTTCTTTATAAAATTTTTGACATTGTTCTTAAAACAGAAGAAAAAAAATAACTTATCTAGTATTTTCAAGATAATATAATTATATAATATAATATATGAAATCAGCTATTTTAAAGTTATTCATTTCTATAATATAATGAGATCCATGCCCACGGTCAGTGACGAGGTACACAAGGCATAGCTCGTACCGAACCTAGTGTGAGACCCACACCAGAACGATGGATCTCCTGAACTGCACCCTTCGATGCTTATGGTACTAGCATTCTGTAAGCTAAAACATACACAAAAACTTTATCACGTATACTCAGATACAGACAGCAACATAGGCCTATGTTGTTTTTTTTTCATTCCCTTCTGCAAAATTGTTCATCATCTTTTGAAAAAATAGATAACCCATTTTTTATTACATACCTTAGAAGTTGCATTAAACTGAGATAAGATATCCACTAGCTTTCATTTATTTTTTGAATTATTTGTCCCACACGTAGTTATAGCTTCTTCTAGCTCTTGGCAGTATTGAGATCCTGCTATATTAACATTGTTTCTTCTCAAAGTCTTAACGTTCGGTAGATAGACATTTGGCAACCATTCTTTAAAATACAATATATTGCTTGGTTGGTTGCGGTTAAGGTAAAAATAATTTTCAAACATTTTAGAAGCAATAAATGTTAGTCTAATTTTTTTAATCACTGTAAAGCAACAAACTTCCATAACTTCATTATACTCCCTTTATAAATAGAATTAGCTCTTCTCTGAATGGCAATACAAATGGCAGGACAATAGCAGAAAAAGGACCTATATGTGCTTTACGCCATTTTTTATATTCTATATTACACTACATTGGTCATAGGGTGACCCTTAGGCATGTGGAATGCATGTTGGAGATCTCGAGATCTTCAGCATTACGGCGTAGAGAAAGATTTTTTCGAGCTTGCGAGAAAAAAGATATATAGTAAGCAATTCAGGGTTCACTTACTCTCTGGCTTCGAGCAAGTATTGCGAGAAGGTGGGTTAGAATGAATAAATTTTTGTACCGGCTTTGGAGTAGATCTAAAGCTTGGGTATTATTTTTTCTATGAACGTTTGTAAATAAAATTCGAAAAAAATCATATAAAGATTTGGTTGCATAGATAATGTATGTATCATGAGATTATTGACCAAATTTGGGTTAGAGTACTAATTTGAGAAATTTTTGCAGTAATGATAAGCTTTGAAAGGTATGCAGATAATTTATA